CGGTTCATAGCATGCGCCGGATATCACTAGCCGTCATCTTGTAGTGCACCCAGAGAGGTGCTCCTCGCCTCTGCATAGAATCTGGAAGCCTAAAAAACGTCTCAATTCCCTCACTTTAATCCACTCATTCGCTCTCTGTTCGTTGGACAGCGCTTTGCTCTGTTGACTGTTCCACTACTCGATAAGTTCTAATGGCGCCTCATTGAAACGACGCGTCCGAAAATTTTTGTTTCTTCAACTTTTGCGTCGCTGGGGCCCGTCCAGATGCGACGAGGACTTTTTGTATGATGCGCAGTTTTACAGTTCCATCCTACTATAATAAACGGCAACGTCTGTTCTGAGTTGTCTGTTTGTTTTGCCCTGTTGTCTGTCGGTCTGTCGTCCCGAAATTCGCGATATCTCTTGAGATCCAGCCTAGAAGGACGGGCAATGGTGGGTTGGGCTAGCGGCATCGAGCCAAGATGAGCGGAACAACCACGTGAATCTGAGCTAAGCCCCGCCCGCTGTGGGCGGGGCGTGCGCACAGTTGTGAGCTACATATTTCAAAAATTCGTAGTCCGGTTCTAGAAGATCCCGGAGAGCGGAAATTGTGGGTAAGGATAAGCAGTCAGTTGGCGGATGAAATGAGGGAGTCACACCCCGTGATGACGGGCGTGCCTTAGGTGGGCTGTGCTCGGCTAGGCAGAGACTTCAAAAACTTCGTAATGAGTTCGTCAGAAGATCCTGGAGAGCGGAAATTGTGGGAAACGATAGGCAAACAGTTGGCGGACGGAATGAATGAAGCACACCCACGATGGGCAGGGCGTGCGCCGAAGTGAACGGTGCCGGGGATAAAAACCCTCAAAATACATCCGAAAAACTCCAGGAAATGGGAGTAAGTGAAAATGAGCAATGGTTGGCAGATGATGTTAGTAAGGGATAACCGTAGGGAGTATACCAAGTGGTTCGCCCGTGATACTTCTTTGTTCGTCTCAAATCCACTGACTGGACCGCTGTATAGAAAATTTTGTTGACTGTCTGCTAGGGGGGGTATATACTAGCAGTGAAACGGCAAAGTGCGGTAATTCTCAAAACAATTTTTTTTCGATCATTCGACCGGCGAAGCACCGGGACCCACTTCACACCCGGAAGGAGGATCGGCCGGCGAAGCCGGCCGATCCGACTGGCCCTCCCTCTCATGGAAAACTTCTCACCGGGACCCACTTCACACCTCCCTCTCATGGAAAACTTCTCACCGGGACCCACTTCACACCTCCCTCTCATGGAAAACTTCTCACCGGGACCCACTTCACACCCGGAAGGAGGATCGGCCGGCGCGCCGGCCGATCCGACTGGTATAGCATAAAATGCTTAGATCCTGGGACTGTACAGAACATCCCCAATTGTGCGCCCACGCAGCACTGTCGCCGTGGCCTAGGCTGTAAGTTAACAGGCGGGATTTGCGTCATCCTCGCATCCCAGCGTCATTTCCATTCCATTCCACCTTATTCCTCCCGCACACACTTACTTGCCCCGGTGGTCGAGCCGACCGTGAAACTTACATCAACCTTGTGATGCCGAAGGTAATAACACAGGCTAACAGGATTCCCTCAAAAACGGGTACCTGAAGGTCAGACTCTTCGGATTGCCCGGTTATGTGCTCCCACGGACCACCGATTTAGCTCCGCGCTCGGTTCTTGGACAGCGCACACCTTTTTTATCTCAAGCTTATATTCTTATCCTCTTATCCTTGTTCATGCGCCCACCAGCAACCTTCACCTTGCAGTACCTGATGAGACGAATGGAATAGCTGGGATACACTAGTGCTGAAACGCTTTTTCCTATGCGAGAGCAAGCCCTTGCTACCTTATTAACCGTCGCGAGGAGTTGAAGGCTCATCGGCGAGTTCAGGAAGATCAATAGTATTGGCGTCAGCCTGGAATAACTTTGTAAGCTCTACGATCGAAGTCTCGTGAGCAGGTTCCTATGGATCGCTGTTCTAGACTTTCAAGTGGCTGTGGTGCGCATTCTTTCTCCTGAACAACCGCAATTAACCCAATCCCAATACGTCATTTTGTGGGTTCTTAATATAATGGGTGTCTCGGGGTATTTTATGAAAGGGCATATCGGGGAAAATACGGTCTTGTTAGCACCACGGTACAGCATCGTTGGGAGCATTCCATCAGGGGTCGTAAGTGGTTGCTTGTGAGGGTAGTTGCATTCGATTGATATCGTATCTGGTTTGATGGTATTCTCAGGGGGGAGGGGGGTATCGTACCGACACCGCCACTTTAGCGCTTACAGCATGCTGGGTGTGAGCGTTTCTGACTTCTACCGGCAGGAGCGAGAAAGGGTGTACAAATTCCACCAAGGTGAGCCGTGCAATTTCTCCCCATCCGCCTCCCAACAATAATTCGAACCCCGCCGGCTGTCCTCACATTTTATGGAGATTTTCTATGATAGGGACTTTCACGCTAATCAAACAAGGAATTGCATATTAGTTCTCGGAAGCATAACTGTGAAAACGGTATTGATGTTTTTGCCTATTCTAATAATGCTATTCCTTGGTTTTCGGTCTGCACTTATGATGCTTTATGAACACCTCAACTCATATCTTAGCACTCATTGATCTTGGGACTTCATGTAAATTACGCCTTCCACATGACTTGCAACTTGCCAGAAGTCTTCTCGTATTAGCGAACCCTTCTCCTACTGTTTTTGAAAGCTTCTTCTTTGATCAAATATCGTCTGAGTTATATTTTTTCGACTCTTTTCCGTCATTTAAGGGACAAACTGTGCACTCACCTCCGAGGATGGTGCTTCCTCTTGTGCGAGCTGAATGGGTCCGCAGCTGCAGCAGCGTGCCACTTTCACCGCTCCAAAATGTACGGTAACTGGGCTGGAGGATGGCGATACTCCGATGCCGTTTACATACTCCGCCGGCGCTATCCTCATTGTGCAGCACTTGCGCCATTACCAGGATCCCTCACTCAGCGGTAGAGAACAAGCGAAAGTGAGGGCACAGACAAGTGGCGCGTCCGGCTATGGTTGGGCGTGTGTCCGAGCTCCATGTATCATCCAGTCAGCGTACATAGTTGCTGTGTAGGTCCCATCCGGGACACGTTCTGTCGCTGAGGAGATTTGGCACTATTGAACTATTCCTACCCCAAAAACCCTCAAAAAAATTTTTTTCGCCGAAACGTTGTCTATAGGTGTAATTCGATGCCCTGATCACGAATATCACATTCGTTTGGCGCCTACATCTGCGGCCGATAATGCGCCAAATGGCGCCAGCGCTTTGAAACCACGTGACAATCAGTCCTCAATGAACCCCCACTAATGCGAGTTTCATCGCTTTGTTGTTGTATAAATATAGTGGTGTGGTCGTCTTCATATATTGGTCGCATAATCTGTCTTGCTCAGAATGACTATATTATGTCTGCTCGTATAATCGGTATTATTATATCCGTTGATTCTAGCTGCATCGAATTTTACTAAATTGCCTTACGTTCAGCGGTTAATTTTTTTTGGACTGGGTTATTGTAATTTAGTTCATATTTAATGTGGTCGGATGATTGTTAATTATCACTTGTACTGATTCTATTATTTATCACTGATTATTTCTATTATATAAAAATTTTTGGTATAGTGAATAATCTATCCCTGTCCGTCTCTCTATTTGCGATCTTAATATTGCGTTTACCTCTTCCTCTATGGGGATCGATTACAACGTAGTGTACTCTTTTTGTTCCCTGTATTCTTCCAATTCTATTATATTTTATTGTATTGATGTCGCCGGTTACTTGTAGTTGGTGCGATGTTTGCCTCCTGTTGTATCGTTGTGGCTGTTCTTATTGTCCTCTGATTTCGTCACGCAGGGTGAATTTTTGTGGAACTTTCTATTGTATATGGTTTGTATTGACGGGATATGTATAGATTTGGTAGTGTGTCATTTTGATCGACATTTGCTGTTTGTTTCGCTTTGCCACTCTAATTGTGTTTCCCGGTGTATTGTTTGGTAGTAGGTTTTTACTTGTTTTTTTGCTTCTATGTGCTTGGTGTTATTGTCTTCGTGTGTGTATTATTAGTTTTCTCTTATGGTTGATTTTTATTGTCTATGTGTGTCTTTTTTGTTATTATATTATAATGTGTTATCTTTTGATGTTATTATTATGGTGTCTTGTGTTTAGGTTATCTTATGTGTTGATGTCTGTTTTTTGATTATTGTTTTGTTTTATATCTTTCTTATTTTTGTTATTATTTATTTCTTTTTTTGGTCTGTTCGGTGTATTGTTCTCTTGTGATATGTAAGTATATTTTGTTTAGTTATTCTTATACTTTAGGCTTTGTTGGAGGCTCATTGGACTTTCTAAAGGTATTTTCGTTCTTTCAAATTCATTTTGTGTTCTATTTTATAATTGCCCTACACTTTACATTGGAAATCTTTCTGCATACAAGACAGCGGAACAAGCCAGAGTTTGCACAGGTCGGATTACAGCCTACTGACCTCACCTCATTCTACGAAAGGCCCTTGAGCTAACTAGGAGCTTGGCAGGCTTTTTGCGACCCTGCGCTTTTATACTTTTGAACTAAACGCAAAGGGAAATCCGCTCAGACTTGAATACTTCGAAGCGTCACAATCCTTATGCACTCTCATTATCCGCCTTTAACTTTTAAGGCGCTCCAAATGGACCTTGAGTTTACGTTTCAATTTCAGGCATGACTTAGTAGGTTTTTCAATTCTCTCTAGCCCCTTGACAGAGCGCTCTGAGAGCATCCAGGAGTTGATTATTTCGGAAAGATTTCACGAAAGACCGTTGACAAAACTGTCAGCGGAATGTTTGCTATGGCGCGCTACGATTTTGACAGCTCCAACTGTAGGCGTAAATTTGATAGAGAAGTGCCTCACTCTGTTGTGACTCAACACAAGCTCCCAGCGCACTCACTATACTCCCTTAATCACATTCATCAAGCTCGTCCCAAAGTGGTGTGAGAAACCCGATCTCATTCACTAGACAACCATGGTTCGTACTCACTCCGCAAATGTCGCAATCACCAGAAGATTGGTAAGTTAATTTTGTTGATTTGTAAATATGAGGATCTACCTAACGATCATATGGATCCGTTGTACAGCACCAGAACTTTCAATTCTTCTCAGAATTGGCTCTAGGAGTACTGCTTCACTAATTTGCCCAAAACCACGAAAACTTCCAAAAGTTGAATAAGGGCTACTACAGGGCGAAATTACAACGCGTACAAAGTAGGGGCAGTTCGGGTAGGTAAGAGCACAGAGTGGGACCTCCCGAGGCTGGTGCAAACCACTTTGTGAAGCCCTTTGCAATTCTGTAACCAGGACGGCTTACTTGCACCACTTGACAAGGGCTGGTTAACATGAGGCAGCAACAAGAACTAGAAGAAGCACAAAATGTCCCTGTAGGCCAAACTGCGCTCTATGATATACATGTACACCCGTATCAAGCACAGGTGTAGCCTGGGCACGTCGTACGCTGGGAAATCCCCAGCGAGGGAGTCGTATTTGCTTGTTGTTGGGAGACGGGATCGTACTTGCGTTTAAGAAGTTTTTCTGCGTTGGCGCTGGGAAAAACTCTTACGGCTGCGGACTCTTTTGTTGCGCCCTCACCCCCACCCCACACCGAAAAGTGAAAAATTTTTGGATTTCGAATGTTGTGGTGGCAGGATATTGGGAAAACTGAAAAACTAGAAAAGTGGTGTGTGGGACGGGGAAGGGGGGAGGTCGTACCAGAGGGTGGAACTTGCTAGAGTCGTGTTCCCAAAAATTCTCCCCAGCGCCATGACGTGCCCTGGGTGTAGCACGGGTCGTTGCTTGTTCAATCAGAAGATGACGTGACACATAACGACGAGGAAACCTGCATTGTATCAGTCTCAAGAACACCGCAGGTCTCGGTACTGCAGGGTCATGTCACGGTGTTTTTAGGTCTCTTTTATCTTGCTTAGGTAGCCTAATTTGTTGCGTAGCGCGGATTCATCAATAACCTCAATGATCCTGGATTACGGTAATGTCACCAGACTGAAGGGTTAGATGAGAAAGTACACATTTGTGACCTCAATCTGGTGGCTTTACTACCAAATAACCCTTGTTTCATGATCTCATTACAACATAAGACGAGCGATCATCGGTGAAAAAAAAACGATTTGCTGCTGGGAACAGGTGCCCTGAGGAATTTGTGAAGAGCGCCACGAAAGATGACGCGGTAGGGCGGCCGCCTACAGCTCGGGGTTACTAGCTCGAATGTCTTAGTTTTTGAGCGAGTATCATTCTGTTATCCGTTATCAGTAGAGCTCACCTCATCTACTTCTATCCTCTTCTACTGCCTTTTCTATGACGTCATTCTTCTTGAATATTCACGGCATCCTGCACGAAGTGTTCCTTTGAATTTTATATGTTACATGACTCAACGACTCGTTTTCAGAAACAGGAAAGAATGACGCTTGCTTCTCATTCGACGATGGGTGCGCTGCAATTCAGCGAAGATGTCATTAAGCAGGTCAGTACTTCTATATAACTTTTGTCTTTCGAAATTGCAGTTTTGAATGAGTTTCGATGGACTTCAGCTTACACCCGAGGAAGTAGACGAGTTCCGAGAGGCATTTATGATGTTCGACAAAGACGGCAACGGTACGATATCAACCAAGGAACTCGGCATTGCAATGCGATCACTTGGGACAAAACCCTACTGAGCAGGTGAGGAAGCTGAGAACTTTTTTCTGGGGTGGGTCAGGAGATCTAATTTGCGGCTACGCTAGGAAAGCGATCGCCGCAACGTTCATACTTCGCGACAGCAGCGGCGATCGCCGCGATCGTCGGTACGTGGCAGAGCGCGCCCCAACGCTATTATGGACTGCTCGCTTGATAAATAAGGAAATCCAACTTGTGAGACCTTCTTTTCTCTTAATAATGGCTACTAACTGATAACTTACGACTTTCTATACATAAGCGGATCTGGAATATGAGGTAAGGAGGTTTCACTTCTTTTTAGGTCGGGATGAGGCCAACTCCATTTCCTGAGTGAGCTTCTCTTGTTTCTTTTGTTTTTATTGTTTCATTTATGCAAGCGCCTTAAAATTCCTATCGTCTGAACTGTTCCAACTTCCAAAACATTTATAGTTTACAAGTCGAGTTCAAACAACGAAGAAAAAAAGAAACAGAAAGAAACTCACCTAGGAACCAAAACACTAATCATTTTACGCAACATCAACAGGTGAAAACGTTATAACCTCATGTATAAGCTCGACGAATGAAAAAAGAAACAATAAAACCTACCCTAAATGAAGCTCTCACGCTTTTTGCTCATTTCTATCCTGAATCAAGAAAGAAAATAGAAAACAAAAGCCATTAAGTTGGGTTCACCTTTCTTTGTGTCAAACCAAGCTTCAGTATCTAAGAAAATTGCAGTTAAAGGAAAAAAAGCATGAAATTGAGTCGCTTCTTCCCAAAAGCCTTCGGAGCGCAAGTAATAGCGTTGGGGCGCGCTCTGCCATGTACCGACGATCGCAGCGATCGCGACGGTCGCCGCGATCGGCCGCGATCGCCGCTGCTGTCGCGATGTATGCGCTGTCTTAGAAAATCCCTTGCGCGACAAAGCGCTTCTGTGTGACTCCAAAATTCGAATCTCCTGACCAGTATCCTTCTCCGGATCGTGTACAGGCTAGTGAATCTGGTGAAGATCGGTTCTCGTAGGTTTCATGTAGTTGTGGGAAATGTAGTTTTTCTTGTGACTGCGTTTGATTGATGATTATGCCATCCGTTAGTCTGTTAAACATGCCCTCAGCACAACTTTGAGACTGGAATTCTCTGTTCTACAGCTGCTGTCATATTCAATAACAAACTGTTATTCACTAGGTGTCTCCGAACTCAAAACTTTGCGCGCAAAGGAATAAATAAGCCTGGGCTATCGATATTTTTACGTCACAGGCTTTTTGTTATCCAGCTCGATCAATGCAAAGGTATTGGAAAACGTGTCGCCCCAAACCTAAGAAAAAGTCTCATGGCGTCATCGGTATGCTCGTCGCGAAACTCCTGGAATGCTGCTAGGGCTCTAAAAAAGCAGTCTAGCCAAGCTCGAGGGAGATGTAATCGTACAACTACGTCTGAGTCATAAGGTATCCCCATGTGGTTCACTGTGGATTACTCAGCGTGTATAACTCTGACTCTGAAGAAGTTCGCTAATTAAAGCTCAGACAATAAAACCTCCTTTTTCCTTCGAGGCAAGATCATGCCAATCGTATGAGTGGACGCAGACTTATCACTGAGACTTCACAAGCGTGCTCCTCCTGTATAGTAGGGGTGCGCCAGGGAGGAAGACAAAATGGTGGGCTTGACTCCGCCTATACCATCAGCGCGGATTGTGATCTCAGCGAAAAGGCGATTCATAATTTCGTGTCATATGAAGGTAGTTCTTAGTTACTTTAATACTGTCTTGTTCGCTACGGATGAAGCGTCATGTTAGTGAGGTTAGGTTTGACTAGCCCCATTCGTTCTCCACCAGTGGTTCAAGTGGATGACCTACAACAACTAGTGAAAACGGGCTAATCAAAGAAAGTCTTGTTGCTGGCTCAAAAAAAGCAAAAAGGGGGTCGCAAAGGACATCCCCTCTTCACAAGCGTCAGCATCTGCAGCGAACAGAACTATTCCAATTGCGTCACGCATTACCATTATGCTGCCAATCCTTTATAGCGACGAAATCCTTGGGAATAGCGCTTGACCGACCTTGGAAATCCTCGACTATTCACTGCATTTATAATCGCTAATTTCTTTGTTCGACCTAGCAGTTGCCACTGCCTAAGGGTGCGCCTAAAGACCCGTCACCGAAATCGCGTGGCCGATTGTAAGAAAACCAGGGGAAATTTTGAGCGTATAGTCCGTATTTCTGAGACGGAGGGGGGTGTGTCCAGAGGACCAGGTGTTAGCGCAGCGACGCTACGCAGCTGCCGACTCAATCAAGGCCGCAGGTGCCCCCCTCGCCCCTCTCTGCCCTGAACCCGCAACTGTTTCTTACGCATTAAGCTGGTCGCGGCCTACATTCTAGTTAGCTGAGCAGAAACCTCCACCTCTCCCCCGCCCCTTCCACAACAGAAAAATATGTAGTGTAGGTGTGAATACCGCTAGACCACAAGGATGACATGGCTGTTTTAGGAGATCCAAGAAATGATCAACGAAGTCGACATGGACGGAAACGGTCAGATCGAATTTCCTGAATTCTGTGTGATGATGAAACGAATGATGAAGGTCGGTTAATCTTTGCAAGAGATTTTGTTTTGAAGAGAAAAAATGGCAGAAACTCTGTGACTTGGGACCTTGGGGTCAGGGAGGATTTCCCAGCAGAGTCCCTAATCATGCGGACTGACAGGGACGACATTGTGCCTTCCTCAATGGCTCGCCTAGAGCGTCTCACGAGGCAAAGGCGTGGGTCAAGTTGTTATCATACCAGCAGACCAGAATGTTTCTCTATGGGCAGGGACCATTTAGTTCTCAGTTTGATGTACATTATTATCTTCATAGAGCTACCTAGCAGAACCTGGATGGAGGACCCCCTTAAATTGAGCACAATTCGATCTATCGGCTGTGCATGCGATAACGTCACAGCATGCCGCTGCTTGATATGCTCCCTCAAGAAACAACTCTTCCAACATTACGAGTCAAGCCGAACAGCCTGAAAATTGGGCCTACAACCTTCAACGCGACCTTATTCTCATTTACCCCATCACCATTACAGGAAACCGACTCAGAAATGATCCGTGAAGCATTTCGTGTGTTCGACAAGGACGGCAATGGAGTCATCACAGCTCAGGAATTCCGATATTTCATGGTTGGTTACTTTCTGGGATTTTCAATACACGTCATACATTTCACACAATTGGTGTACTACTGCCAAAGTGCAAGGGGATCAGCAGAAGACTTTGTATGCCCACGGCCATTTGCGTGACGACGTGAGGGAATTAGTAGCTGCGGCAGGGAAACGTAATTTGCAATGCTCTTGTGAGAACCCTTCCAAATGCCTTGCACTTCTGGCTGCACGAAGTGCGAACAACTAAAAGCTTTGCAAAGAGGCCCAAGAGATGGGGTTGTAACCAGTGAGATATTTGTAAACCAATGAACAAGAAATTTTCATGGAAGGTACAAACCCTAGAGACGGAGTAGGCACGGCAAAACACATGAGAAAAACGGTCTGCACAAATGGGATATTGTTTTAGACAACTGTCATCGTGTTCAGTGTTGGACAGACATCTGACCACAATTGGGTCAGAATGAAAACATCTCTCCAAAAGCACGACCACCGTAACGTTTATTGAAGCACGCAGCCGCACCCACCAATCAAGGACTTCAAGTGTTTCGATGGTCATTTTCATGAAAGTTTCATGATGACGCCGAGCAACCTAGCACCTGCTTAGTCCGTGCTTATCAGGCGGCAGAGAGAGTGGCAGGAGGACCCGTTAGCACATGCCTACGCAGTGAGAAAACTATGGAAACTCTGATTACCCTTTACTGCGCCAAACACCCGAAATCAAAACAGCTCTTCAGTGACTTTTTTACGTGAACACGTTTGGCCCAAAAATTTCTCCCTGGGGGTAGTTTCACTTTTTGAACACGATGTCAGATCCGCGTGGCCCGCTTTCGCACCCGCGCTAAGGCGCCGTTGTTAAAACACCCCAACTCACCAGATTCGCTGGAAGCTTGTCCCCAAGGGTGGCTTGACCTCCTGCACGCATATTTTGCATCTGCATGTGGTGCCGAAAAAGTTATAGAGGAGTTAATGGTGTACACATGATGACGCGCCGACTTCTTACTCTATTTTGCACCCTTCTCACGAGATAGTGATCCCTTACTCTGCTAAGACTGAGAAAGATCAAGGATCATTTTCACACGCTAACTGAAGAGGACTGCCTTTTTCGTTCCCTCTCATTACTGCATAGGCACACCGGCACCCAACAATCGACTGCAGTCTTTCCTGCAAGCGCCGGAGTTAAAACAGTATTTGGTGCCGTCAACTGTAGCGCATGCCTTGGGCGCTTTCCGACGAGCGGATGGGATATCAAACTCCACGAGGTCAAACTACTCCTCGAGAACACGCTTCGATTTACAATCGTGATCATCTAATGTACATTCCGGCGCCGGTGCCTTATTGCTAGGGGCGGTTAGGCGGTTTTCTGGTGTTTAACGGAAGTGATATACGTGTTCACGAGGTCGAACTAACCTTGGGGACAAATTTCGAGGCAAATCGAAGTTCTGGACTGAACTTTGAAAACTGGTACTGTCAAGTATGAATAGTGATAGAAAGTTAAAGGATTCTATTTTGATGATGAAACTTTGCAGAGAATACTTCGATTTGCTCAGGGTACCTTGTTTTGAGATCAACATATTCACTGAAACTATTTAATTAGGCGATTTTTTGGCCTGTTCCAAACTCCCATTTCTGTACTGTAATTAGGGACTGTTCCAATAAAGGAGAGCTCAAAGCTGAAAAGGAAGAATCTTTCTAAGACTAGTGAATCTCAAGAAAGCGATTTCAGGTCCACATGGGAATGCAGTTCTCAGAAGAAGAAGTGGACGAGATGATTCGTGAAGTCGACGTTGATGGTAAGTTTTGTGAATAAAATAAAGAAATAGGGGTACATAGTAAAAAGTAAGACAACTTGTCCTGGTGCACTGAGGCCTGAGCAGGATCAGGCATTGGAAAGTGACTCCACCCCCCCCCCCTTCACTAATCCGATTGAGGCCAACAGAGCCTTCTTCTCCTCTTTCTGTCGTTTCAACATAGGATGGTACAATAAAAAGACCCTTCTTCCTAGTGAATGTGAAAGGGAAGGCATTCCCCAGCTTAGAGCTAAGAACGTTCCCCTAAAAGTAATCGAAGCCAACCATAGGAATCTGTACGTCATGCTGAATTTAATTTTTGTCCGGAGGTTTGTGAGGGGTTGAAGAACTCTTGCTCGTCCTCTGAATTCACAAACGTAGACCGGGCACATTATTGCCCTCATAAAAAGTCTTTGCTACTTTTAGCACGCACATGTTTTCCTTTGAAAAAAACCTAAAAATAATTTGCTGCACTTACGAGACATAAAGTGCGTCAGCAACAACCATCAATCACCAGTCAAAAAAGCTTTTCTCGAGACAATTACAACACTTCCATTGTGTTTTGTCGACTGCATAGGAGGGGATTATTTTTGGCTATGAGAGTATTTTTTGACTCCCCCTTCAGGTGCGCTATATGACTGAAAGCCACTAATGAAGAAGAGAAGAAATTATTAAGTGTAAATATCTATTAGGTTGGAAGGAAAGTCCTGCTGCACTTTGACCAAATTTTCGGACCAAATTTTCCTTCAAAAGGCACCTCCAAGTCACAAGGTAATCACCATTAATGACTAGGACTAGTGCCCACCTTTTGCACAGCTTCTCATTTCCATTCTTATAGAACTACGGCAACTATGATAAAAAGAGAGTGGACCTCATTTCTCGAGTAGACGTCGATTTTCGGAATTTTTGCTCTCTAAAGGATGCGGTAGGGATCAAAAGATGTGGTAATTAGAATTGCTAGCTTGGCAAATAAGCTGGGTACGGTCGCATTCTTTGATCGAGATCCATGATCTTTTGGCGAGCCTGATCCATATATGCAGTCTTCGCATTGCCGAGTAGTGTAGAAAAAAAAATGGGTATTTTTAAATAAATTCAAGCGTGACGTCATCCATGTTTTGAAGTTGATTAAAATGGACTGTGGTCTTTACAGCTGTGCTAGTATCCAGCGATACCGCTTTGAAGTCCCACCAATAACACACTGCAGTCTTTATCCCATGCACGTCTGCTTTTGGCAAGCAATCCACTTTTCTCCTTGAGAGACCCTGCGAGGGATGTGTGCATGGTGTACGCATAGACTCCAACACTCGCTACCAATCACGAGATCTCACAAAAGTTCTTCCAGTGTGTACAAGGCAAAAGAAACTCAAGGGGTTGCCACTCACTGGTGGTTACGGTTCTGGCTGCCCCGCAAGAAGCTTGACTGTGAACGGCCATGCGAGTTCGTTCCCGTGTGCGTGGACCTATACATTTCCTCCGAATTAAATAAGTCAAGCTTGGGAGCACTGATGCAAATGCTACCCTCTGAAATGCAAGCGATATCCAACGTAGGTGTTTGCTCCCTCTTCTACGATGGAATGGTCCTACAGGAATTCACATTATGGGATATGGTCGAAAAATACCTCATCTGAGGAACTTTTAGGCATTTGAAGCCTTATCAAATGCATGATATTTACCCGTGTTGCCAGATTACCCCCAGATGATCAGTTTTGGACTAAACGGGGTGAGAACTTTCAAAATATTTTTTGGTCTGGGTGAAAACTTTTGAAATTCTTTGGATCTTTTTTAGAAGTTTTTTGGTCTGGGTGAAAACTTTAAAATTCTTTGGTCTTTTTCTAGAAACAATTCGATCAAATTGAAATTGATTAGCGGCTCACCAAGGTAAACGTGTGAGTGCTGTAAGGTTACGGCATAAGCCGTTAAGCTGAGAGGGTAAAAGCGGCCCTGGTGGCGTAACGGATAGCGCACTCGCCCGGAAAGCGTGAGGTGCGGGTTCGACTCCCGCCTGGGGCACGACTTTTGCCCACAACTCAGCATTCTTGTGATAAATTCGATCAAAGTTTCGCAGTACTTTCCTTCCAACCTGATATAAGAATCAGGTGGTCCGTTAAGGATCTATTCGGCTGCGAAGTCTTGGCGAGTTTGGGCAGGGGGAGGAAGAGAATGTGATAGTGAAGTGTATTCCGTCCGCGACCTTTTCTTCTAATTGTTAAGGGCAAGGCACTTAAAGCCGCTGGAGGAAGTTTTTGGACAATACGACCCCACCTCCACCCCCTAATTTCCTCTTCTGACACAACTCTCGCTTTTCCATCTTACCTACAATCATCCTGACTTTTCCCTATTTCCTGCCCCTTTCTCCAGGTTTCTCAAACCAGTTTTTCTTTTGAATTGCTCGAATTTTGCTTATCAACAGCTTGAAAAGTTTTTGTTTTCGCGACTAGGATAGTTCAAAATGAAAATTTAGACTCTCATAGGGAAGTATGACCCCAGCCCTCTCCTAGCGGCGAACAGATACGACCCTCACCTCTTCCAATGACGAGGAAATGCGACCTCCCCCTTATGGAGTTCTTCCTGCGGTGTAGGTGGCGCGCGTAGAATAGGGAAAATCGACTATCGAAAAAGTGTCCCCGCCTGGATACGACCCCCTCCCTCCCTCCACCAACAAGAACGCTCGGGATTGGGGATTTCCCAACCTGGGAACGGGGTGGTATCGAGACCGCCACTTCACACATCCCAATGATCTGCCGCGACTTGGAAACCGGTTAATGAGAGTTGTTTACCAGCTTCTTCCCCGCAACAAATTCTTTCGCACTCCTAGCATTCTCCCACATGAATAATACATTACTTTCAGGTGATGGTGAAATTGATTACGAGGAATTCGTGAAAATGATGTCTGATCGATAAATACCGTCGACTCGCATCCCGTATCTAGTGAATGATTCTCCTGATCCATGGGTAGAATCTGCCACAAAGAAATCGGTTCACAGTGCATTCCCAAGGTCTGCAATTCCCACATTCCCATGCTCCATAGGTAAAAGCCATTTTTCTCCCGTACATCTGTCAGACTTGACAGCTTAAGTCCTTCGACTTCTTTATCCTGATTTGTAGTTAGTGAGTTCATTAGCATTTATCTACACACCATATCTCGAAGATGGAGTGGGCGTGGCTGCAAGTTCACCTGAGTGTGGGAGCAACTGCACTTTTGGAGGGATATTTCGTATGGAAAACAATTGGAATCATGTACTTGTCTGATACAAGACGAGCGAAGATGGCAGCCATCTCGACCGAACATATCCCTCAAAAGTAGTGCATTCTATGCTATCTCCGAAAGATTCACGCAGCCACGCCCTGCTCGTCTT